CACCTGCTAGCTGCGTTCCTGTGATGTTACTGAATTAAGGATTTTTAAAGGAACTGCTTATTTGCTGTGTGGTGGATATTGCATTCAACACCCAGCATCTCATGGTTGGATCAGGAGATGACTGAGGAGATGGTCAGTATGTACAATCACCATCTTTTTCTAGTCACAAACACATTGACACAAGTGATCGATCACTTTTGTACTATTTTCAATGTCTGTAATTTTATGTGATAGAAAAAAAATGTGTATTGTACTAAAGCCAAATGCAGTTGAGATTTTGGATGTCCATTTTGGTCTTTTAAAACAAAAAATAAGAGGGGGAAAAATCTCCAGTGGATTCTGTTTGAATCTGAAAGTTGTATGGGTTTCGTTTTGAGAGGCGATGGACACTGTTGCTGTTACTGTGTAATGAGCCAGACATAAATGTGTTAAGCTGTTTCAATGTCAGAAACCAGCTGTGCAGAAGACAGGGAAACTTCTCTTGCTCCCATCTATAGAAGTAAATCTAGGAAGCTTTACTTTGTGGCTAAACTGCAAATCCTGAAGCAGATTAAGATTAGGTTTCCATCACTTTGTGGTCTTTATGTGACCTTTTAGGAATTCCAGCTGTGCTGTTTGGCCTTAGGAACAATTATTTAATATTAAGGTACGTACTGTATTTCAGGAGGAAATACATTTTCTTTATGTATGCCATCTGTGTAAGTGTTTAATCTGCTCAGATAAGAAATCCATTTTCAGCATCTTTGCCTGCCTGTCTCCATATATGCTGCGATGAAGGGTATCTGTGACGCTCTCTTCGATGTCCTCGATCTGTGTGATCTAACAACCTGCCTGCTGTGAATGTTTTTTCTGGCCCCAGCTCAGAGACCACTTAAACTGATCTGGATCACTTTCTGTGCCTCTGAAACTTGTCTTGTGGCCTTATCTTCTGAGACCAACATTTTGTCTGTAATTGTGGTTACATAATATTAACAACAATAATAATAATAATAATGTACTGGCCTTTCTGTGAACAAATGTGACATTGACTTTTGTACAGTTAAAGAATGTAATAAATGTTTTAAGTCTGCAGTTTGTCACGCAGCGTTACACAAGAGCCAAGGTTGTTGGTTTTTATTAAAAAAAGTTTATTGGCCGAAAAGCATACAAATGTAACACAAAAAGCACTTTTTTTTTTACAAAACTTAAGTTATTACACTGAATGAGAGTGTCTGGAATTTCATTACACAGCGATAACTGGAACCACATCTGGACAACTGGTCTCCATGGCTTCAGCCGTGTCCTGCACTGAAAACGTGGAAAAGTTCTCGTCTGCAATTTTCTGTTTTTTGTAAGGTTACATACTGCATTTGACACAACTTAAGAGAAACTGCCTTTTACCTGTAGTGAGGTCTATGAAGAGCTCAGGTGGGTCTGGAGGGGCAGCAATGCCCATGGCCTTCCTGATGCCGTAGATACTGCTGACATCACATGGGGCCACCTGACTAGTCAGCTCAGCCAAGTTTGATGTCACCTTCTCAGCTGTAAAGGTAGGAGGATGAACGTGAAGATAGCAGGAAATTAAGATATTAAGAAAAAGCAGATTTTTGTTTTTGTTTTTTAAAAAAAAACAAAAAAAACAGATGTATGACTGGTTGTATTTACCAGGCCTACATCTGGTTATTTTTTGTTTGTTTTAATCTATATATCTATTGATACTCTGACTTGGATCAGCTGCTGTTTGTTTTTGCAGCTCCAAACATGTTGGCAACAGAGTGTCCTCTGGTGGGCAAAACAGGCAACACTCATATTTGAAGGGTGTTTCTCACATCTCTCCTTTACTTTAATTTTCATTTATTAACTGTTGAATACACAGATACAGACGTATCAACAAATTGCTAATAATGTTAAATGTGATGGCAGGAGCATGCTGCTGACATGTTTAACATGGTGACAACACTTGAGGCAAGATAACGGAACTGCTATTAACCTTGTTATTATATTATATTAATTAAATTATCCTACATTTTAATGGTGAACTGAATAAAGAAATAGCTTCCTGCCTTTACACTTAACATGATTTGATTGGCTGGTGCCTGTATTGGCATTCTACATGAGTTAATTAAGTTATCAGTACAAACGGCGAGCGAGAGAAAGAAAAACTGATATGAACTGAACCACATTTCTTAAGAACTGTTACATCCATTACAAAATGTCACTTTACAGGAAGTGACCTCAGGAAAAACAAGCTGATATGTTGATACATGTTGATAGCTGGAAGTGGCTTAAATATATGGTTTAAATGCTCTACCATGGAAAGGAAGCAATCAATGAATCATCCTAAATCAGTGAGTAAACTGATGGGCAGGTTTGCGAAATTGTATTTAAACAAAAAGAAATTCATTTCATTCTTGTCCTATTGTAAGATAATCAGCCTAGTGTGGCTGACTGTACTTACAGTAATTGACGTTTCTTGTTTAAAGTCTCCTACATTTTGATGCTGAACTGAATAAGGAACTAGCTCCCTCGGCTTAATTTGATTGGCTGGTGCCTGTGCTGGCATTCCACAAGGCTATCTCTTAAGTTATCAGAACAATACTTGTTACAGCATGTAACAATTCAGTTCAGCACTGCATGAAGTCACACCATCCTAAGTAACAATTTACCGAGTAAAGAGGTTATTTTAAACACAAAAGTATTAAATGGTGATCAAGGACAACCGTTTATCTGAAAACCCTATTAATTGTAAATATAGCCTATGAAATTAGAGGTCGCTTTTTAATTTTATAAAGTCATCTGAAATAGAGAGCTACGTATTGCCATTCAGCATAAAAGTTCTTTTCCACAAAATGTGTCTCTTAGCCTCTTAAGCCCCAAGGGGGTTTCTGAGCTTCCTGCTCAAAAATGTAATGCCCAAATTTAATTGATTATTTCTCTGCAATTACAAACTCTGTCCTTACAATCTTGGTATCAAAATAAAGCTAACACTTGGGAAATTTCATCAGAGGTGTAAATATTGACGCAGATATTACTGTGTCAAAGTTACTGAGACTGGAACACAGAAAAAGTAACTAGATTTTATCCTCGCCTATTTTTTTTATTTTTTTTATTTATAGCATATAACCCTTTTAAAAATATGACTCAGATCACATTTGGTTCCAGAAATTCAGTAACCAACATATAAACATCATCTGTGCAAAGATTTGTTTCTAAAGTGAAACAGTGAAAAAAATTACAGCCCTGTCAATACATGAATATCCAGATGTTGTACAAAAATGTCCAATTTTGGCACAATTGTACACCATGCCAGTTGATTTTTTTAGGTATTAAAGAGTAGAAATTAATAAGGCCTAAAAATGCGGGCTGTAACTTTGGTTTCTTTTGGTCAATTTGCGTGATTGACACCTTTTTAATCGTTTGAGCCAATAGATTCACTGTAACGATGCCACGTTCACGTCACTTCAACCATTTAGACGTTGTAATGCCAAAACCTACGTGGGCCCAAATTTACTACATGTTGCGTCTGTCCAGTCACGTGTCTGTAGGTGGGTCTAAAATGGAGGTTGTTGACGGAAAACGGCTCTGATGTGGCTAGGTAGGCATGGTAACTACTGGTAATCACGTGGCTACCAGCGAAAAATAACGGAGGAAATTGGGACGGTAAGCCAATTTCTGTCTTAGCGCATTTGCGCCGCTGTGTGTTTTTGTGGTCTTCTTTTGCGGCTCATTCAGTGAATTTTGGTCTGATCGTGGTGAAACTTGGTGTGTGGAGTCAGTGATAGCCCTGGAAGCTAACCAGTGCGTTTGGTGGTTGTAGAAATGGTTTATATGACATTTTGGCTGAGATTCTGAGGTTTCTGTGGATACCACACATGTCTGGACTTATATTTCTCAGCCAGCGTTATAATCGATTAAACATGATCTCCTCCTTTTTGCCCCCGGTACCGGGGGGTGGGGTTTAAGTGGTTAAAAAAGAAATTTTGGCACAGGTTACATAAAAATGTGTTTTTTCCCCCGCTGGGTTCACTCTTTTAAAGACACCAGACCAATGGATGCCCTTTTTAACTGTAATTTAGATATAAGATCTTGGATGGCAGAAAACGTTTTACAGCTTAACCAGAACACGACTGAAGTTTTAATCATCGGTCCTGAGGCTCAGAGAGAGAAACTCTTGTCTAAATTACAGGCACTTTCACTATGTCCTTCGCTACAAGTGAAAAACCTGGGTGTTATTTTTGACTCCGAGCTTGGTTTTATCCCACATATTAAACATGTAACCAAAATTGGATTTTATCATCTAAAAAATATAGCCAGAGTCCGCCCTATTCTCTCTCGGGCCAACACGGAGATGTTGACGCATGCTTTTATTACCAGTCCATTGATTACTGTAATGCCCTGTTCTCTGGTCTCCCCAAAAATAATATTTCACCTTTACAACTTTTACAAAACTCTGCAGCTCGTGTGCTGACGAAGACCAGAGGGCGGGCCCACATTACACCGGTTTTAGAAACGCTGCATTGGCTCCCCGTGTGTTTCAGGATCGATTTTGAAGTTCTTTTATTGGTTTTTAAATGTCTTAATGGTCTTGGGCCTTCTTATCTCTCACATTTGCTTTTACCATATGAACCCTCGCGGACCCTGAGGGGGGATGTGTGTGTATGTATGTATGTATCCATGATCATTTATGTTAATGAGAGTGTGGGGAGTGAGTTGGAGGGGGGGGTGGGCTGCTTTTAACCATGTAAAGCTCTTTGTGCTACATTTCTGTATGGAAAGTGCTTTATAAATAAAGATTGATTGATTGAAAGAAAAATATTCTGGAAAGGGGGTCCCAGTGATCTGAATCAGGCCAATGTCTACCACACCTGTGAAGGATGCAGGCTACAGAGGTAAATGAAGTGTTGTTCGAGGTCTACAGCTGACTTTAGTGGAAGAACAAAGACGCCCATGCACTATGAGGCTCTTACCCAGCTCCAGCTCCTTGGCAGTCGGGGCCAGCAAGCAGATCATGTTTGGTGGCTGCTTGGCACTCAGACGTTCCCTCTGAACTTCCTGCAAGTTGCGCAGGAGCTTTGTAGTCTCGTCCAATTTCTGCTGGATGTTCAGGGCTTCTGTGTGAGGGAAGGAGAACACACAGCAAGTAAATACTTCCTCTGAGTTCCTCCAGTTACCTTCTGGTAACCCCCCCCCGCAAATCATTTCTTTCTAACACAATATAGCCACTGTTTCTGAGCCCTGACACAGACCCCTGGGTTCTCGTGTTACATTAATACTCGAAGGTGCCGAAAGCTGATGACAGAAGAACTCTAGAAAGATCTCAAAGGAAACATAATAGGACGATGGACAGCTAATATGTCGCTCAAACAGTTTTAGACATTAAAATGTTTACATTATGTACTATCTTGACAGAACAATGAGCCACGGTACACTTATGTATATACATAGGGAGAACAAATATTATAATAAATAATGGCCATGAATTTTAAAAAGTACCATGACAGATTTTTCATCATATCCCCAATACTATGTGAACTTGTAGTTTTCTGATTCTCATTTCTCTTCTCATCAGCATGAGGCAGGTCCTTAAACTGCCTGTAGTGCCACAATTCTTCTTATTTCCTGCCATCAAGAAAAGGCATTAAAAATATTTCTGCTGAGTTAAAAATTAATACCACTAAGAAGGAAAATAAATCCCTTTTTGATTGTCATACCATCGAAGAACAATGGGAAGCCAGTGGGGACATTAACAGTGCATTCATGCAGAATAATTGAAAAGATACATTCCCATGTTGGCTTTGTCATCTCAGTTTTATTTAAATAGCAACAGCATTCATCCAAAGGTACTTTTAATCTTAAAGATAAAGATCCTGCAAAAAATTGGGACTAAGAATTATGACACGAGAACTGAAGGTCTGCAAACTTGTATCATAATTCCATCATGCTCTATCACAATATCCATTGTAGGATGTTAATGCTCAGGTAGATCCTGGTAGTCTGGTGAGTGCTGTGATATTTAAAGATGTTTTTTTTCTCCAGGTAAATTTCAGTATTTTGATGATCATGTTTATGATTAAGTGACGTTCCCTGTGGTAAAAAACAAAAAAAGGGCTGTTTTCCCTACTGCCCATTTCCCTAAAAAACAACAACAACAACAACAAAAAACTCCCCAAAAAACAACAACCAAAACCCAGGTATGAATTGAACCACTTAAGAATTGTTAGGGTCAGGGCTGTAGTGACTGAAAGTTTCCTGTGGATGTAGATCTACATGTGTATGTAGATGTAGAACATTAGGTGCTTGATTTTGGCAAAAAATTTCATCACAATTACTAAGGTCACAAGTTTTTGATCATGTAATTAACACAGATCCAGGGCTGAGGACCAGGCAGTGACAAAAGATGAACTAAATGAGTCCATCAATGTAATTTGGGCTTTTGGATGGAAAAAAAAACGTGGAGGTGCCTGAATGACAAAACGAGCATGATTGCGAAACAGAATTCGGCACAATAAGCATTTTATCTTGATTAGCTTGTTTTCATCATGGAAAGATGAAAAGTATTAATGACATGTGTTTATAGTGCTTTCTAAAGGAACCAAATTAAACATTTTAAAGATGTTCTGATCATTCCTAAAAGTGTAATTAGCTGCCACTTTAAATACAGAAAAAAAAAAGTCAGACGTTTTACCCTCAGAAAGCTCCTCAGTCATCTGCAGGCCTGCAGCAGAGCGCAGGAAATCCAGTCTGTCACATGTTTGGGGGTCAGCTACCTACCAAAGACAGAGGGGAAACAACATGGTTAGTTAGATTAGAAAAATGCATTCCACACTGGACATAAAAGGGAACATCACAATCTTTTGAAGCTTCTTTTGTCATGCTACTTCTTCACTACAATAAAATCAGGCCTAATCAAAAGCTGCAACACCCGAGCAGGGGATGAGAGTAAACTGGAGGGCGGCCAAAAACAGCAAGAAGCTAGCACAAAGGGCCGCTGTTTGTCTGACGGTGGGCCCCTGCTCTGGTTTCCTCTACTGCTCTGAGGAGCGATTCAGCTTCACAGTCAGTGGGCAGTAGAGGAAAACAGTCCTCTCAAAATTCTCCAACAGCGGGCCTTGAGCATGTAGTACTGCTGTGTTTTAAAAGGAAATGTTCTTTCCATCTTTACACCAGGCCCCTGCTATGTTGACACAGCTGGTGGATGCAGCAGTCATCAGCTGAGGCCATCTAGAACACAAATTAAATCCATGGGGTATAATGGAGGAGCACGTGATATGCTTTGCACTGAACAGCAGCAGCTTCAAAAGCAGTGCTGATGAGGATGAGTGGCTCCGGTTTTGTATTACATAGCGAACGCTGGCACTCGTCACTCGACTCACCTCACGCACATTTCTATTACATGCTGCACATTTTTTGATCAGGGTTTCAGCTCCAGATTCTCTCACCTCCACGGTATCCTTGTCCTCTTGTATATTTGACAGCTGCTCTACTTGCTGGAGGAAAAAAAATGACAAAAACACCCCCCCAAAGCAAAACAAAAACATTTATTTAGTCAACTGGAAGACTTTCCTGTCCTGAAACAAAAAACAACAAATGACGTCAGAGAAAAGCTTACTTGCTCGGTGTCCTTCAGGATTCTTGAATGCTCTCCGTTTGTCACTGCATCCAGGAGGTTGTCTGCCAGTTTGTACACATACTCTTCTGATTTGGCCAGGAACTCTGACAAGCTGCCAAACAACCAACCAAATGAAACTTTACTAGTTATTTCCTATGCAGCAGCGGTGTAAAAGTCTGAATCATTTTGTTGACTGAGAATAATGACAAGTAGTTGATATTGACACTCCTGCAAATTGGTGGAAAAATAACTGCACCGCCTACACAACCAGTCAAATAAGGACGTGCTACTAATGGTAATTAAAGATTTTCATTAATTTGTAAACAAAAATCATACTGTGCTTTTCCGTTTAGAGGAAAAAACAGACACAAGAGACAATGAGCATGTGGTAACAATAAGCTAAATACATATAGTAATATGTAGTAGTCCCAGTTTCCCATAGCCCCTTGGAAAAATTGATTGCTTACCCCCCCCCCTTTTTTTTTTTAAATCACCTTGCATTTACTGAACTTTTCAGTTGAATGATTTAAGGATCAACCATATATATATATGTATTTCCTTAAAATTATCCTAAAAATTATGTAGAAAAATAAAATTGAAATTAAAATTCTGTCATGGATAACTAATGGTCCCCACTGGCTGCAGCCGTCATCATAGAACGGGCCCATGTAGCTTCACCTACTCAAACCTTTTTATGGCTTTTATATTCCCTAGATCTTTTTCATTCTGAACACTTTGGAGTTCCACAAGATGTACCAACCTGTTATGAGCATGAACATCATGAGAGAATAAAACAGAAACAAGATGAAACTGAAGTTTACGAAGAGATGAAGGGTTTGAGTCAGGGTGAGGCTCCGCTTACAGTTTACCTCCTCCTGATACAGAAAATCCAGTGGAAAAAGAGGAACATCTGGAAAGTAATCAGTGAGGAATGCCTCGCTGCTTAAAAGACACAGAGCTCGGGTCCTTATACAGACACGCTGTTCATACCTGTCTGAGCCCTGCAGGCTGGACTCGTCTCCATAGAGAGAGTAGATAAGGTCAGAATCTTCCTTGCTGATGTTGGCGAAGCTGGAGTCGTAGGTTGGCGCGTAGGAGGTGAATGGCCCATAGTTCATGTAGGACACTGTGGAAAGTGCCGCACACAGATAATTTATTGTCTTTCCTTTGAGACTCTGATATCAACAATATGGAGAAACATAAAGGTAGAGCCGTACCTGGGGTGATCCTGTTCCTCTTGTCCTCCCTGAAACCCTGCAAGGTGTTCACACCGCTCTGCAGCCGGTTGGACATCATGCCGAGTTTCACAGGACAATAACCCACATCTGCAACAGCAAACACAGTTTTTTCCCCTCAAGTCTCTGGCTGCATCATCATTTCTTTTATAGGTCTGGAAATACTAATCAACCATTAAAATTTCCCAGTCATAGTTTACAGAAATTAAAATCAAAGAAGCCAAAGGAAACTTATATTTCGCTTTTTTGTGTATAAGATGTTGTTGTGTAAAGTGGATTTATTATGCTTCTATATTTGTATTTTTGGACTTCAAGAGTGGTGCAGCCTTTCAGTTCATCCACGGCCAGAGCTTACAACAGAAGCTGATGGTGTTTTCATTTATAACTGTGTGGGCTGCAGTGATGGAGTCGTGTAGTTACATTTCTAGGGTTTCAGAACATTTTGCGCTTATAATGTCTCTGTGATGTAGATTTAACACAGAAGTATAACGCCAACTGAAAACAGACTGTTTTAGCTCCTCTTTCTTTAAGCTGTTTCCTTCTGATTGGTTGTCCTACATAAACCCATTTGACTCAAAATTCAAGCCTGCACTTTTGGCCTAAAAGGATTAATGGTATATGTGCTGATCTTTTTACATTAAAGCCATATTCAACATGAACATCCACCGCTGTGGCAAATTGTAATAATTGGTCTAATTGAGCTCTTTTATAGTTCCAAAATGGTCTCACCTCCTGCTGAGGGATCTGCTGGGTTGAGGATAGCCAGAGTGGTGGAGCCATCTGACTTCCGCCTTGCAAACTCCAACTACAAAACAAACAGTGATAGTGAAAGAGGAATAAAAATAATGAGAAAATATTACATTATTGGATTCTAGTTAATTAGATAAGACACAATGGACATCAGATAAATAACCAGCGCTGACTCTACAACATCGTCTCCAGAGTCTAAAACAAAAAAGAAGGTGTGGATATATTTTAAACTGGGGCCCTTACTGGTTTTTAAACACAAAGCCTAATTTTTAAAGTAGAGCGCCAAAGCTCTTTTGGCAAAACAAAAGCGGCAAAGCATTTTTATTCATGCTCTAAATCTCTGTGGTCACAGACTGCACACACAGCCTGTAAAAATAATAACAGTGAGCACTGATTACATCACACAACTAAAAACACAGTGTCCAGAACATGTAGCTCAAGTCTTTTCAACCTTAAGCAGCTGTTCTGTAATTCTAAAGAAATTACAAAAATGTGAAGTAAAAAAAACAAACTATACTTCCACTATGATCTGTTTATTAATAAAAGGAAACATCAGTATATCTTGATTCAACTTTATGGGCCAAAATTCCTAAATGGGGCAAAATAGCGCGTGAGTGCAATCGCCAAATAGCGCTAAAGTTCAAAAGGTTAACAACTCTTACAATTTTGTCCATTTGTAAATATTGAGAGAACTTTTTTTTCTGGTGCAACATATTAGTAAATCTGGCCCTATGGGGTTAAACGAGGATCTGCCGGGGTTAGTTGGTTCGCTTTGTCTTACTTTTTTCCCCTCACTGAGAAGAAAAAAAGAAAACATAAGTAAATATTTACAATTTATATGTAATGGAAATCTGAAAGGATTAATATATGTCTCATATTAGATTTTCCTTATCTAATCTGCAATGACTTTTCTTAATCCTGCTTCTTCTCATGTCTTTTTTTCATCTACCCTTCAGATCATTTCATTCAATTACTGCTTTCAACTTTCAACAAGCTCTTGCTGGCTACGTACTCTAAAGCGAGTTAAATTGCATCCGCTCTTAAGTGTAAACAATTGGGATTTATGCTTAAGAAATTACATTTCCGCTATACATGAGTTTAACTTCTCCTTTCCATGGTTACTATTTTGATTCATAAGATAACCATGGTGCAAAATACTGCGTTATAATGTGTGATAATGTATTTAGTGTTGGAAATTTTGTCTAAATCAGTAAAAACTGCTTAAGATTTATGAGCAAGTCATTCCACAAAGTTATTTAGAACATTCTTAAGAGAATGGGACCTGTAATACCACAATGCCATCTGAAACATTATGATCTAAAAGATCAGATATATCAGTTTGAAAGCGTGTTCTTGTGTTTAACCCTGTTTTCTCACATCAGACTGCAGCACTCTGTTGGACAGCTTTCCTCCAGACTTCTCAATGACCTTGCGTATTTCCTGAAGCTCTTTCTCTGCTTTTGCTGCTTCGTCCTTAGAGTCTTTGTCCTGTCTGCAAATGAAAAGCAAATTGAAAGATGCCAGATGATGAGACACTGTGACCGTGAATGTACTTTGTGGCAACAACAAAAAGTATACACACAGCAGAGAGGAAATTTGCAGGAGTTTTTCTGTTCATTGTATGCCCACAATCTGTGTTCATTCCTCAGATAATTTACCTGTAAGCGTTTGCTGACGTCAACGAACAGATTTTGAGACAGCATATTTTACGAGATAAAAGGTAACTGAATGAAAAACAGCCTACTACGTGGCTTTCTGGGGCTCGTCCTCTTATAGCGAGTCATAATAAAATGCATAATGTCAGCATACGGGTTCTGTTACATCACCAAGTTAAAACACAGCTGTAAAAGATGATAGCCAAGAGAAAACAAGCCCCAGCATGTCATCAGGCATTCCCCACATTCTCAGCCTCCAGCTCCACAGTGAAAAACAAGCTCACAGGAATCAACACGATGCACTTATGGGAAACTGTTTCCACTCATATGCTGCATCTCTTCATATTTCTCAGTTCTGCTGATACAAATGTGAAACCTTCTACTCTTTTAATTTTACAAATATGTAATTGTGTCAGGCCAACTGTAATTTTAAGGGGTTAAAATATTGACAGTATGGTCAGGAGTATTATTAAAATCCCTCTTGCAGTCTGGGCTCTCCAAGCTACACTTAAATGTGGCATCAAGGCTTAAGGACACGTGTGCAAAGTCAACATGTGAAAGGACCTGGGAGTGCTGGGTGTCTGTGACCTCTCGCTGCTGTCTGTAGTCGCAGGTCCCTCCTTGTTCTGGTCCAGAAAGGTGCTCGTTTGTTCCTCAGATTTCAAAGGTTGTTTGGCAGAAGGGTCAAGACCAGCCATAAAATCTATGCTTTGCTTCAGGCTGTCCAGCCTTTCCTATTAGGGAAGGTGAAAAACATGCTTTTTACTTGGGTTTAAGAAAGAGAAAAAAAATAACCAAGGAGAAGAAAACTGTGGTGCTGAGTTTGTGAGCATCTGCTGCCCCCAACTGTTGCTTTGTTCCTAAAGCAAGGTTACAGCAGCCTGACTTACAGATTATTTTACAGCAGGCTATTTATCAGTAGAGAACACCTGGGTCCTTATTTGAGTGCTATTTTGGAACTTTTAGTACATAATTCACTTTTCTCCTGTCTCAATTATTGTAACTCACTTTTTATGTAAATGGCCTGTATTTGTATAGTGCTTCACTTAGTCCCTAAGGATCCCAAAGCGCTTTACACTACATTCATTCACCCATTCACACACTGGTGATGGCAAGCTACATTGTAGCCACAGCTGCCCTGGGGTACACTGACAGAGGCGAGGCTGCCGGACACTGGCGACACCGGGCCCTCTGACCACCACCACCAGTAGTGGTGAAGTGTCTTGCCCAAGAACACAACGACCCAGACTGTCTGAGCCGGGGCTCGAACTGGCAACCTTCTGATTACAAGATGAACTGCCAACTCTTGAGCCACAATCTTTAGATTACTATGAGCCTGTTTTCAAATTGTTCAGAATGCAGCAGCTCTGCTGCTCACAAAAACAAAACATTTTAGTTAATTTTAAAATGTTATTAATAACACATAAAGCCCTACATGGCCAGGCTCCTGTCTATATAACAGTGCTAGTGACACCACATTCCAACAACTGGCCTCTCCAGTCATCTGATTACAGTCTGTGAACTATTCCACACTCTTCTATTTTAAATCCAGAGACGACCAAGCTTTTGAGGTTGCAGCTCACTAACTTTGATAAAAGCTTCCTTGTTTTAAAAGACTGATGACAGCAAATTTTTATATGTTAACTTTTCTTAAAATGTTTACCCCTTCGTATGTAAGAACGAATGTAAGACTGTATGTTTCATTTTCTGTCTGTACTATTACTATGGAACTATGTGTTTTAAAAAGTGCCATTCAAATAATGTTATGGTTATATAATTATAAAAGAAAAATTGGTGCATATGAATGCAGTATGTTTGTGTGCAGTTTTTATTGCTGACAGATGTCTACAAAGAAAGTACAACAGCTAATATAGACACAAATCGTCTTTACAACAAATTTAGATGCACAAAAAATTATTTGAAATAATTTGAAATAATATATTTTTGGGGGCTTTCAAACAGAAGTTTTCTGTTATCATGTACACTGTTTTAAAATAAAGCTCCTAAATTTTTAATTTTTTAAAAACTTGATGAACCCAAATTACCCCCAAGTAAAAGAGGTCAAAGAAAATGACAGTCCAAGGTCACGATACCTGGCTCAAGATCTTCATTCCTGAATGTAACAGTTTCCGTGCTGCTTTGTGGTAGATTGTCTCAGGTTTGTTGTAAATCATGGCATTTTCACACATAATCCTGAAATCAACCTGCATCAACGACATGCGTAACATTTTAAAGCATGACAAATACAACAGCTTCTGTTAGTTAAAACACACTAAAAATGTGTTCAAATGTGGCCTTTAGGGAAAACAAATATACTTAACATTTTTAACATGATTTAAATTTTTTTTGAATAAGGTGAAGACATCATTGACAAAGTTTTAGCAGTTTGATCAAACAAAGAAGTATAATCTGTAAATTGCACTGAAGCTACTTGTCATCAAAGACAGGCAAAAAACATCAAGTATCAGAACATACATTAAGAAGGGAAAAAATACTAATTTTTTCACCCAAAACAAGTATCATTAGTGGATGTAAAAGGACCTGGGAGTCCTCCATAAGCACCACGTCAATGTGTCCTACAGTAAGCTAGAGTATCAGCAATTACAAGATCTGTGTCTTTAAACTTGAAAGAACGGTTTTATTTATTTCTTCTAACCGAATGCAATAGTACACAGACATGTACCTTGAGTTCATCCAGTGACTGGTAGCACTCTTTCTTTACTTTGTCCTTCATTGTACTGAAGTCCATGGGACGCTTGATGACTGCAGAGTAACCAGGAGCAATGAGGTCTGTCACTGGAAATGAAAAGAATGCGTTCGGGTCTTTCCTGCAGAGGAGACACAAACAGTTTTTAGTTGCAGAAATATCATTACCTAATGCGGTGAGTTGCTCACCTCATTATTTATAGATATTACTAAATGTCAAATAAAAATGTAAATGCACAATTATCCCTGATCAATAGGTGATAAATGCTGCTGCACCTTTGGAGCTGCCTGATGAGCTGATTCAAAGCTTCCTGCAGAGGAGTCTGTTCTTTTTCTGTGGAAAGGAGCAAAATAACTTAAGATTCTTTCAACAACCTTCAGAATAAGTGTTAGTATTAATTTGGGAAATATTTAACATTACCTTCCTGTTTATCAATCTCTGAACGTATAGGAGTCCTGCTCTGCTCCCGGTCATCATCTCCATCTGCCTCCTGCCCTTTCTTCTTTTTAGTTACCTAAAATAAACAAACAAACAAACAAACAAACATACATTAAATTCACACACACACTACCCTTTTAAAATATTTAACATTATATGCGAAATTATCTATACCAACAGATATGATGTTTACCTTCTTCTTCCCCTTTTCCTCCTCTGGTGACCCAAAGCTTTTCTCTTTATCCTTTTTCTTCTTCTTTTTCTTGTCTTTGGGTTTGTCAAAGTCAGCCGGCTGTTCGTCATAAAAAGTGTCAAGGCTCGAGCTTCCTGCCGTCACTTCATTTCCGGACACTTTCAGCACCAGCTTCAGTGGTCTGTCTCCATATTCTGTACAAACAAATATCGATTAATAATCAAAATAATGGTGTGTGACTACAGAGAACATACGGCAGCTTAGGAAAGCTAGAAACAATAGCCGCTAACAACTAACTCGAAGTCATTTAACTTACGCTGCACGTCTAGCGAACAATGTATTGTATTCACACATCACCACCTCAGTATTATTATTTTTCATTTAAAAAAAATGATGGAAACGTGTCGATATCCATATAACTAAGTCGGGAAGGTAGTTTAGCAATAAGCTAGTTTACCAACTAGCTCTATTGTCGTGCTAACAGTGCTACAATACAAAAACACAGGGGCTACGAGTTAGTTTAAAATGTAAAAACGGTTTATTCTGATAAGCAGTTAAACTGTATGGGATGAAATACCTTCATATCCATGCTTCTCGGACTTATGCTTTTTGTGCTTCTTGCCCATTGTCTATGTTTTGGTCTGCACCGGCGGCCAACTGCTGTGGCTGAGCACTGTGGTAGCTGAAGTAAAATTTCACCAGAGGCAGATACACTTGCAGCGTCACCTGTCGGTGCGGCGGTGGTAATACCCATGTCTATGGGTACGGCCGCCCTTCCAGCCGGAAGGAGGCGACATAACCTTTGAAATAAACTTCAATCACGGACCCAGGCCTGCATAACTGCCATTTGCCATGACCCCCCTTTAAAATAACATATGATAATAATCGTTCACCTGGAGAAATCACTCAATCAATCTTAAGCCACATACAAATACAGGGAGCACATGTTAACCACACTCGTTATGTATTGATAATTCAGCACACCTGAATCATATACAGAATGTCCATTTTCCTTTAATATATGGATAAGTAAAAAAATAAAATAAAATAAAAAATCGAGATGCTTAGAAGATATGTCCAACTCCAGTACTGTGAGTATAAACACATACAACAAGGGAAAGTTCATGATAAAAAGAAAAAATGTAGTATTGCACCTTTATGAAGCCAGGAAATTTGCAAGTGGCGCAATATTAGAAAAAACCTGAAGTAACAGCTTGTTTTTTCCTTTTTTTTAGTCCACTATAAATGTCACACAGTAAACATGCTGAGCTTTTCTTTCCTACAACCAAAGTTGGTCAAACTCAATGCTAAATTTAAAACAAAGGTTTTCAGTTTTACTCGGATTACATCAAGATTAGTTTTTAGAGCTGACATCAGACAACTGTTGACTGTATTCATCAGCAACTTTTTAATACACCTAGAGTGTTGCATACTGGTGTGTTTAAATGATCCATATATATTAATTTTAATGCACTGGGTATACTTTTATTGCACTTTTTTCCATAACATTATTTCAGTGATTGAAATCAGTGTCTTAAGACCCAGACACATGTTCTCTACATGTCTTCTATATGCAGCTAACCATGATAAGCCAAGGAAATTCTGGAGATGTTTTATGCAGAGACATTTTTAGCCATAAACTATAATATTTTTCTAAATGTAAAAAGTTATTTGGGTTGTGCAAGACATCACAAAAAGAAAAACAATATTTCTGAAGTCACAAACATTAAAAAGTATATTTGTGCTATCACCTGCAGGAATTTTACTCACCGTATTCTTTGCCTGCTTATAAACAAACTGTGGCAGAGAAATAAAAGTATCAAATACAAAACAACGACAAAATAAATGAATAGTATAAATATGGTAGTTTACTTGGAAATTGTGCAATTATGCCACTTGTCAACTCTCCAGCCTCTGGATGCAGACTTTAGTAGACTTTTATTTTTTCTTATCCTACAGCAATGTAGTAAACTGGAGCAGAACCCTCCACAAATTACCCTGAATGGTTTGTGTAATGAGTTGGCAGAATATATTGCCATCTTCAACACAGGTGAAGTAAAGTGTCTCTAAAACACAGCGGTTAATATTGAGGTCTTTCTTAAAACTTACATTTAAAATTTGTTAAAAAAGCAGACACCTCTGTAAAGAAAAGAGAGATGATATTTGGTTGAATGTTGACTTCGCAGGACTCTGTAGCTGCAGGAGCTTCCCTGTCCGTTTTGGAGCTGTTATACTCGGTTAAATTGGGACATATTGTACTGTCTGATGAATGACAGATGTTTTATTCATGGCGGAAAGATAGTCTACATTCTTTGATGCGCATTCCAGGTTTTATGAAAAGGGCAAAAGATGAAGTGGAAAACTCGAAAGGAATGAAGATTGACAGAATCCACTATTTAAGCCATTCCTGGTCATAGATGAAGACGTGATATTTATACTCTGTTATCGTTTGAGTCTCCTATCTTAGCAAACTCATCCCCAGCAAATTACTATATTACATTCTTTACATATTCGCTGTTATTGTGTTGGGGAAAAAATCAGTTGCATGTTATCCATGGCCATATTTAAAATTAAAATAACCAGAAAATTTAGTGTAGTAATTCAGAGACTGGTGGTTTTCTTAGGTGTCACTTGTGCAAATGAAAATGCACATACAGCTGTAATTCACTTGGAACTTGATTTAGACCCTCCCTGTGATGAAAAGCCACTGAGTTCCTTATGAAATAGAACGGTCAGGGAAAGTGTTTCCTAGCAATATGCCCACAATTCTCTGAGGGGTAATTGTGTTTTCTTTCCTCCTTGACTAAAATTAAACAAACAAATAAAGGATCATTTGTGAGCCTCAAAAAACGATGGATTTTCATCCTCCCTGAAACCTCTGAAGGCAGCAGAAACAAATTTTCAGCCTGTTTACACTTCTAGCAAATATGAGTTGGAGATTGGATTTGTCTACATAGTAAATGCTGTTAGGAAATTGAGGAAATTGTTTCAGGCCCTAAAACCAAAATAATAAGCTGAAAGACACCAAAGTGTTCCACAAAGTTGAGGAGCTTAGTTTCATTTCGGATTGTTTACATACCAGGAATGATTGGTACAGCTTTATAGTCACTCATGAACATACACATTTTCTTTCCAGAAAAAAAAGTTTGGAGTCGTTTACGTGTGTTGTACGGTGTATGTTATTGTATATCACAATCCTGGATAGTATCTTTGAACAAAGTGATTATAAAATCCCTAATATCAAATACATTTTGGCCTTTTTGAGCCTTTCTAATGAACATTTTAGATAACTACAACATGAGAACAAACCTCCTTTCAAAATGTTCTTCATTTACTGTCCATGCAATGTAATGAGTACAGCAGTCAAAGATAGATATCTGTGTTCTCTTTGCTAGTCCAGTACTACTCTGCAGCCCCAGAGAGGCCGTGGGATCCATCTGCTTGAGTCCAGCTGCAGAGCTGCGCACACATTGGAAGTCCATGGATTAAAAGGAGATCAGTTACACCAAACAGGGTTAACAAATGGCAGATGTTGTGAAATTCATTATCCTCTGTCACAACAGAGGGGCTAAAGGGACCCGGAGACCATTTCCACATGAAAGCTGCTTCCCAACAGAACCATGGGAAACCGCTTCCCGCCCTGCAGACGGGATGGAACTGGCATGTTTTGGTCTCTGCACATATACACAACAAAAATACAAACAGGGATACAAATGCAGGCTTTGAACGGTTTATCTGTTTTGCACATGGTTTGACTGAACCAGCTTTGGAGATAAAATGTGCTGTTTGGACTGCCTGAGCCAGAGCACCACAGTCTCCCCCTCTTTTTTTTTTATGGTGTTGGGACAATCCGGTTTGAGTTGGGCTGTAAAATGTCATCCCGGTGACAGTCCTGTAGTTAAAAACCATCTCTTAAAAATAATTTAAAAAACAACTTCCCCTTTATTTTCACTCTTGGTGTTTTCGTGTATTTTCTCTGATTTTGCAACTTTTTGTTCCTACCTCTGTTTTCAATCTTGGATATTAAAGTTATAGCTTCTTTTCTTGCTAATTACATCAAACCTAAAGCCTATGGCAAATGGAAATGAATAACGTCTGCCCTTTTGGCTGGATATGAGAATATTTGATGAAGTTCGGTCATAGAAGTCTTTTCACTAGAAGTTGTGAGCGCGCTTCTCAGTTATGACAGATGAAATGTTTGGGGTCATTACAACTGTCAACGCAGAACGGGTTTGAAGATGTAACCAGCCATCACAAATAAGTCAGACAGAAACATCAAAGAGGAGAAGCCAATCATTCTGCCTCAGTGTTTTTCTCCCGTATGCCAGTCTGTCATGGCAACATCTTTGAGCATCAGTCACTCATCCCCGTCAAAGCGCTATGTGTATGGTGACTCTATTTTTATCTGAAATCAGAACACTTCATGCACGTGGGTTTGATTGTCAGTTTTTACAGCTCGCCATTGTCGCCGTGTTTTTGTCCTGTAGTCCTCTAGCATTCTACCCAAGTCTGTAGATGAAAGTATGCGCTCTTTTTTTGTGCTCTAACAATCACTTCTTGTGATGTAGAGACTGCAAAAAGCTTGTTAAGTGCAAAACAATGGTCAATATAACCTTTTCCAGGGCAGAAAAGTGTTATGAAATGTGATAGACATTTCAGATTGTTTATAAAAGATGGACATAGCCGCAAAGATGTCACACTAAGGTAGTGTAGATGGACTAAGGTAAAGAGACTTACCAGCATGGTGCGTGGATAGAAGGCGCACAGATCATTTTGTGAATATCACTTAAAAGTAATCAAATAAAATGCTATAAAACCAGTCCTGAAAACCAAAGCACAAACATCTGGACAATCTGCGTCACAAAAAGGGTAATATTATTTACAAGATCTTTTAATTTAAATGTTGCAAGAGGCACCAACGCTGCAGTAATTTCACTGATTTGATGGTCTGCACATTGGCAAACACGCGTCTGTGCCCTGACTTTAAGCCTGTGTTCTAAAATAGCTTCAAAAGCCTTAAAATGTAAGCTAAATGTATCAACATAATGTTAACAAAGACTATCTTAACACTAACTCTGGCAAAATACAAAAACTCCTGAAGAAATGAGGGCAGAACTACAAAGAAATATCAAAAACTGAAAGAACAGCAGGGAAAATGTTTCAACACACCCACTGATAAAATGCTGCCCCTGGTGATAAAAGTTGTATATTTTGGAGAAGGTGATTACAGAAGTTACCTTTTGGTAAACCTGAAGAAGTCAGGCATTTTGCAGCTCAAGTGCAGCTTTAGCACCTATGTATTCACTTTTTTATTTCTGCCCCAAAGGTTACCTCCTGGATTTAACATCATGACCTCGGATGCTGCTTTAGTTACTGAATGTGTTCTTATTAACGTTTGACATCTTCAGTTTTTAGCCACAGTATTCTCTGATCTAGTTACTTCTATGTATGTTTCACTGGCCTTGCTTAATATTTATTTATTTATTTTTTAGTATAATATCACTCTTTGCTTGAAGGTACTTAATGTATTATTCTGCTTTTGAAAACTCCATTATAATGCGAGATTCTCTTAAGGGAGGCTGATCTGATGTGTGACTCTACAGGGGATTCTTGGGAGTTATCTGTGTGTAAATGCATAGCGCACACGCATCAAAAAATGCTTACATGCATCATAAATTTGGAAGTGTGTGAGTGTGAGCACATGTGATAGGACAAACAAGGTGGGTAAAGGATAGGGTGGGAGTGGG